TGATGTTAAGGGGGTTCCTGATGTGAATGGTGGCTCCTGATGTGAAGGGAGTTACTAATGCAAGGGTGACTCTGACATGAAGGGGGCTTCTGATGTGAAAGGGGGGTCCTAATGTGTAGTGGGGCTACTGGTGCAAAGGTTGACTCTGATGTGAATTGGGCTTCCGTTTTGAAGGGGGGGCTTCTGATGTGAAGGGGAGTCCTAAAGTGAAGGGGGCTCCTGATGGTAAAGGAAGGCTTCTGATGTAAAGAGTGTCTTTGATGTAAAAGGAGGAGGGGAACCTTGATTTGAAGGGGGCACTTTAATGTGGCTTTAAGGGTCCCCCTTAAAATCAATATCATTTTAGACCGGGGTGCCTCGAGCTTTTGCATACTTTTAAAGGGTGCCGTGACTGAAAGCAGGTTGACTGTAGGGGGGGCAACATATTTAATGTAAAATAATACTTATATATCGGCATTCTATATATACATCAATCATGTCACACTTTAATATACGCACAATAAACCAACAGCTGTCATTTCCGACACTGCGCCTTTAAGTAAAGCCGATAATAATGTTTTCCTGTCCTCAATATCACATTTATATGGAAATTAAAAAAAAAGTTATGAAAATCCCAAAAAGTTTCCCAATATCACAACGTGCAACAAATGTTTAGCCGCCTACAAGTTTTTCCTCCTTTTTTTTTTTGTTCAAAGGTGCCGTTTCATTAAAACGTTAATTTTAAATACATTTTCGGGTTCCTTGTAGTTTGGAACAACGTTATTAGCTGACACATGTGTTCCGTTCTTTGAGGTCGCTTTCCAGACTTTACTGGGAAGTAAAAAAACCCTCAGTGCCAGACGTGTAATTATATGACTTTACAATGTGAAAGGATCGCCCCTTCTCTCTTTTTTTTTCCTATTGCAACAACTGCACGTTATTAGAGGGCGGGATGCTCAGCAATTTTTTAATGATGGGATGGGGGGTTGTAGTAGCAGAGGCTCTTATACCTTGTTATCCATTAATTATTCGGTAAGTTGGAGGCTGAAATGATTCTCTTTTATTGGTTGAATCCAATTATTAAAGCTCTCACGGTAGTAAGTGGTGTTTTTTAAATAAATGCTTTAAAGGAGAACTATGGGGTCAGGGTTTTTCCCCATAGTTCTCCTTAGGGTAACGGGAGGACACAAACTAGCGTCCTCCCGTCACCCTAGGCTCAGTATATAGGGAGCTACAGCTCACGGTATACTGAGACGCCGGAGCGGATCCCGACATCGATAACTGGATCCGCCCAGCTGCGTGAGTGACAGCTGGCTCTGCCTATCTAGAGGCAGAGCCAGCTGTACCCG